TTTTATGATTCTCTTATATCAAGATATCAAAAAATCTCTAGTTATATAATTTTCAATACTTTATTATAATAAAAGAACATAATAGTAAGCATAATTGGATCTTGAAGCTTTTTGCTGCATGTGCTATATTAATGAGTTAATTGTCTTGATTAAATTTTTTTGTATTATACAATGAGCAAAACCAGATGGCTTTTTTTTTAATTGATCTAATATCTTAATGAATATATTTACTGATTGATGGAATTGCAAATTTGAATATTATATTGTTTATTAATAAGATTTTTTTGTTTTTTCTTAAGTAAAAAGATTTTTAGTCCTTTTTCATTTGCTAAGATTATATTGAAGCATTTGAAAAAGATTTGTATAATGATTTGATAAACTTATTAATTTTTTTGGAGATTGTTAAGCAAGAATTTGTAGAAATATGATATTAAGAAAAAGTACTTGAACTTTTTAAGAATTACCATTTGACAATTTTTTGTATAACTTTTTTTTTTATTTTTGATAGTAATTTTTTTATAATTTTAATAGTTGTTTTTCAAGGATTTTCTATTGGATTTTAGTATGTTGATAGATAGAATTGAATATTTAAGTATTTGATACTTTTATATAATTTAAGAACTTGAATATGGTAATTGTCAAATAAAATATATCAAGAAAAATTGTATTTTTATTAAGATATGTTGTTGATTATTTTGATTTTGTTTTTATTATATAACAAACCATTAATTTTGAAGAATTGGTTGATTGTTTCTAAAAGATCTTCTAGTTTAGCTTTGGAGTTTGCAATTAAAATAAAATCAGCTATATATACTAAAGCATTGAAAATTATATAACTAGAGATTTTTTGATATCTTGATATAAGAGAATCATAAAAATCATTTAACAAATTGAAAATAGTATTTCTTTTTGCTTAATACTATTGCTAGTTGTAAAGAGATTTGTTGGACCTAATAAAAGTATTAATAATATTTTTTTATAGGAGAATAGGTTGATAATAAGGTCGATTATTTTCTTTGAGCAATTAATTCTTTGAATAATTTTTGTATTGCTGGAATTAGAATTGAATTGAAGGCTTTTGTAATATTTAAAGAAACAAATCAAAATTTTTTATTGTTAATATTAATAGCTTGAATTGCTAAGTTAATAATAAATAAGAGTTTTATAGTACTTTGTTCTGAAAGGCTTACAAAATTAAGATTTAATAATATATTGTTATATTTTAAGATTTTGGCAAATTTTTTGTTAATTATTTCTATAAAAAGTTTTTTTGTTAAGTTTACAAGTAAGATAAATTTAATATTATTTAAATTATAATTTTATATTAGTTTTTTTGAAATAATTTCATATATACTTATTTGATTATAAAAAATATATATATATATTTATATTATAATTTAATATTTTAATAAATATTAAAATTTTTTGGAAATATAAAATTGGAAAAAAAATTTAATTAAATTAATAAACTAAAAAAAATTAAAATTTTCAAATAATTATAAAATGTAATAATAATAATTTAAAATATATTTTTAAATAAAAAAAAATTCAAAATAAAATATTGAAGTGAAAATATAATTTTAGTTTAATTTATTAATTTAATGTTTTTTTTTTGATTTTAAAAAATTATATTTTGATTTTTATATTACAGTAAAAGAAAATAATTATAATTATAATTATAATAAATAAAATCAATAAAAACAATAAGCAATTGTATTTTTAGATTAAAATTAATTTAATATTTTTTAATTTAAATATTTATAATCAGATTTTATATTATTATTATAAATTTGAGAATAACTTTTAATATTCAACCCAAAATTTGATAAAAATAATACTTTAAATAAGAAACTAATTAATTCAAATATAGTGAACAAGAAATTATATTTGATTATAATAAAAATTTTAAATTTAATATTTTTTTTATGATATATCATATTTAAATAATGGACTATTGAACTATAATAAAAATTATATTTTTATTATATTTTAACTTTTTTTTGTTAATAGACAATATTGTATTTTAATTTATTTTATAATCGAATTGATATTATGTATAATAATTTAAATTGTATAAAAATAAAATATTTAAGTTATAATGCTATTTAAATAAATTCAACAAGATAAATATTGATTTAATAAATATATTACAAAAAAGTTTGCAATAATAAAAAAAAATATACGTAATAATAATAGAAATATTCATATTATTTTAAACAATTGACAATCAAGTTATTATCGGGTAATTGGTATTCCTGTCAAAATATTTTAATTTTATTAAAATTTAAGTAAAAATCGATGAATTACTATTTATTCAAATCATTCAAGTCTAAAAATTTTTAATTAAATTGTTATTTTTTATCTTGAGTAAGCAAAAGTAAAAGGCATTCAAAAAACCGACAAATAAATCATACGTTGAACAAGGGGTGGAAGAAAGTTCTGTTTGTCGAAATTGTCTATTGTATTTTTTATTGTTCTACTCGGCAAACCTTATACGTCACGGCAAATTACCTTAAGGTTTGTTCGAATGCTGATCTAACCGTGGTAAAAACAAAGCAGTAGTGCACACGGGTATGCGGAATACGACATATGCCAATGACACAACCGTTTTAATTATGCAATCGGAGCGAGGGGAAACAATGCACAATGTACCGTGGATGTACTGTACTTGGCAGATATATTTTTTAATTGACAAACTTTAACTATATTAATAAGAGGCGGTATTATCTTAAATTTCAATCACATTAAACTTTAAAAAATGATTTATACATTTTTTTTTTTTTAATTAATTACTGTATACTTTTATTTTCTCCTTCAATTCCTTATTGGTTTTTTTTTCAAGGGCAAAGAAAAAGCCTAATGTGCTGAGATACAGTATATGAACATCGAATGTTTTAAAATGTGCTGAGATACAGTATATGAACATCGAATGTTTTAACATACTGTAATAAATATTATTGAATTGCTGTGTATATACTGTATACATTGGTAAATAATGAATGATTGATAGATTAATAAGATAGGCAATTATCTTTGAAGTCGACAAAAAAATGCCGAATGTGGTATTTCCCGATTTCTATTTTTTTAAATAATGCGTACTAATTAGTAAATGGTAATTAATAATAGTCGGTTTGGATTTTTTTGGTTTATGAAATACACGCATAAAAAACTCAATCATCTCTTTCGATGATACACTACACACAGCGTTTGTGGATTTGTTTCATTAAAAAAAAAAAAAAAAGTCATACGCACGTACGTTGCGTACTACGGTGTCGTGTTGTGACCTTACTCGCCCCTTTTCGTGAAACCATTACTTATGCCAAAGGTTTTCGTCTTTGTTGGATTTTATTGGAATCTAAAAAAAAAAAAAAAGGAAAAATGATGCACCCTGCTCAATCTTATCTTATACAGTACATTCATCCCTTGAGACAAATACGTATTCTCCGTGTCTCGATTTCTTTGCACGAATGATTCGTGACTGCACATTATTCTTAATTTAAAGAACAGCGACAGACCAGTTCATTATTGCGAATTTCAAATTACTGTATTCAAATGTTTCATTATTGTTTTCATTTATTATATTTTACGGTACAGTACATTCCTATTGTTACACTAAAAATACAAGAAAAGACTAAAAATACATATTAAATGGGAATATTCTATTTTGCATTATGATATTACGAGTTTGAGCTATCGTATGCTTCGCAAAGCTCCAAGACTTGATTCGGAATAGTGGATTGTTTGAACAAACTAGGAAGCTCGACTAGTTGAGCAACCATTCCCATTTCGACGTGCCATTCGATGTGACAATGGATCAACCAGACACCCGGATTATCCGCATAGTATCTAATCGCTGTCAAACTGTGAAATTTGGAGATTATTTATTTAGTCGCATGATCTAATATATTGCGAAGCGTTAGAAAAAAAAATGAAGCTAAAATGGTTTACCTCGCTTCATTGAGTGTTACTATATCACGGTAAATCGGATTATCAAAGTTGTATTTCAAAGAGTCGAGTGATTGGTTCCAACTGCCCACTTCACCTTGATAGACTACCCAGAACGAGTGTCCGTGCTGTTTGAAATAAAATAAACTCAATAAAAAAATGAAACTGAAGAGGGAGCGGTTTAACAGTAGCCGAGACTTACCAAATGGAAAGGATGAGTTCTTGTGCGTTCGGTATTATTTAAGATAATCTCAATCGCACCACCAGGAGTATCGTAAGGATACGCATTATCGGAGGTAATGAACCCGGCTCCATCAATAACTTTTTTATTGGATGGATAAGAGAAGTCCATAACTATCGATGAATTATTGATCGTTGCTTGCAACACTGGTCTGGGTTGAACGCCAACTACAAGAAGAATTCTTGTTGCATCACCTGTTGGTACCGATGGAGATAGCGAAATGGGTTTTAAGGTGGTAGGATCCTGATCATGGCAATTGGATACATTCGCGGGGTATGCCTCGGAAGTGGGAAGAGTGTCCGGTGCTCCTTCGTATCTCAGAATACCAGTGATGTCCAAGTTAGTAAATACGGTTGTTTCGTTATTGATAGTTGCGGGACCGTTGCCCGGTAAACTGCAATTCGACATGTTTGCTCGAATCCAGTAATTTCCGACCGGTTGATTTGCCTCAACGATTACAGAATACCGTTCAGCAATGTTAATCGAGAGCACATTAACGACGACTGGTTCGATTATCGTTCCTTCGACTTCAATGATCTTGAGTGGGTGATTATCAATGGAAACCGTGAAATGGGCCATGGCACTCGTGTTAATGATCCTAAATCTATATTTTTTACCCTTTTCGACTTTATAGGTGGCGAATTTCGTGGGAGTGCATGCTGGAATAGTGCAGTTCCACTGCCCGACACCAGTAATTTGCCCAGAATCAGGCATCGGGTCGCCCCCATGGTAACTTGCTGTAGGATAAATGAAATTCATTATTTTTTGTCAGGACCATCCTTTATTATGCAAATTAAGAACAAGAACAACTTTCAAAATTCAAAACATCCACGTACGACTGCGAAATTCTGGCACAAAATCGCCGGTCGGCTTATGATACCAGTCGGACATCTCTAACACGTATTCGTAATCGTATTCCTTCTTATACGGATCCTCCGGATCATGGATGACGATAAGTCCCTAAAGAAAGTTCGATGGTATGGTGTAAATGATTGATGGGTTTTCTTTGTTTTTTTTTTTAAATATAAATATAAATATAAATAAATAAATATATATATATATACTTTACCTTTAAGCCGTCAACATATTGAGCAACGAAGTGAGAGTGATACCAATAAGTTCCCGATTGGGTAAGATTGAATACGTATGAGAAGGTCACTCCGTTTGGAATCGGACACTGTGTGGTCCCGGGAACTCCATCATACCAATTGGAACCTTTTTGATCGATGCCATGCCAGTGAACTTGAATTCATAAATTAGACCAAATTAGCAATTGTTTAATTGTTTTGGTAGAAAAGTGACAGATACGCTGAATTGATGTGCATGTACATACTTGTAGCTGGTGAGCCGAATTTATTGATCACTGTGACATTGAACGTATCGCCTTTATTCGCGCGGATCATAGGTCCCGGATATCTAGTTTCATGTTGAAAAGATCAAATTAAGATTCGGAGTTTAACGATCATGCGGTGTACGAAAAGATTGCATGCTACTTACTGTCCATTAACAGCCCATACCAGGCGGGAATACCCGTCAATTGCCAATGGGACTTTCTTTAATTCGAAGGTGTAATTGCGAACTACATTTGTTGGAGTTTCCGGCAACGGCAGAAAAGGTTTGAAATAATCAGTTTGTACGAGCGACGGCGAAACTTCGTCATCGCGTTCGAATAGGGGCACCGCAGAGCCCAGAAGAACGTGGTATATCAGGCAAAGAAAAGTGAATATGAATATGGATCTCATTTCTTATTTTCACTTTAAGACAATTCTAGTAGTCTTTTGAAAAATGACCAAAGAAATATCGGTGAGGAAAAAGGAGCAACTCAAAATCGCGCTCCTTTTAACAGGAATGAAAATGAACAGATCACCGTCCCGTCCGTCAATGAAGCGGGTAAAAAATAAACAAGTTGCACATCATTTGTGATGCGTTGCTTTACATCCCAGCATTGTGGATAGAAAGAAAAATCAAAACGGCTAAAATATCTCAATCACAATAAAGTAAAGTAAAATAAAATAAAATAAAATAAACGGCTAAAATGTCTCGATACACAAGTACTCCGGTGTACGTGCATGTTCTCGATTTGAAATTTTTATTGTCTCCAGGGACTCTCCTATCGCTCCCAATTGCATGCGATGAAACATGAGGGGCCTAGTATTTTAGATATCCCGAGTACAGCTAAAAATAGTAATTGACATAAATTGTCCAGTGCAATTATGACTAACAAGACAAATTAATTAAATTACACGGATGAATTCTGTACAATAATTTTGCGACCATATACAGTACGTACGTGTTCAACGACGTGGCACACGCCATCCCTTCCCGGTGTGAATCGACGACGATCCTACTGTGGCGTCAACCCTGATTGTCACAAGTGTCACACAAACTCCCTTCTCTTCGAACCAGCCTCGTCTCAAAAAATTATTTTAGAATAGGGGATTATTGGTTTCTAATTAGAAAACAAGGAATTTTATAAGGAAAAATTACGTTGAATTGAATCCTTTTGTGGTGAAAGAATGCAAGAATCCACTGATTCGAAATGTAATCCCAATTTCAGTAAATTCTCAATAGGATGCATCTTACGACTGCGTTTTGTCATGGATTTTCATGTTGGGTGATACACCCGCCGTTCACAATCGTTGTAACTTTTTTGAATACAATACTGGATGAATAAACTTATTGGAAAATACGGCAGGTGAACGACAAGAGAAAGGTCTGTTTGGAATAGGGATGTTAAAAAACTCACCGGAGTCGATCCTTTGAGTCGACTTGGCCGGACTAATTTGAGTCTGACTTTAGACTTTTTTGGACAGGGTCCTATGGGTCATATGATAAATTTAGAGTAACCATATATGTAAAAAAATATACAGTACATATACGTACATGTATATAATTGTTTGCTGAGCGAATGAATCACTTAAACAAAAAGACATTAATAAATTAGGCAGGTCTACGAAATATTTATTATCGCATTTCTTTGTATCAATTATTTTGATATTTTATTAATTCAAGTATTTCCATGGTACGATATACGATAAAACGGTATTCAGTCAAGAAAACTCAACAAAAATCATCGAAAAAAAAAAGGTTAGCGTTTTTACAAACAATTGTTTTAATTAATTATAAAAGCTACTTATTTTTTTTGTTTTTCTTTATGTCTTGCTCTAGCTCACCAATTTCCGCTTCTCTTACAACTGCTCCTCTTATCAAAAATTCGGGTGATAATTTTGAAGGATCTCACAATGAAATCATAGTTCAAAACATAAAAGGATCAAAAAAACGAAAATTTGCGCCTGTTCATGACTATCTTAAGATAATTGAAGATGGCATTCGTGTTTGCACAATATGCAAAGATAATAAATGGGGAACAGGCACATCATTATCAACAATAACACGTCACTTCGAAAGAAAACACTCATATATTTTTAAAGATTTTCAACGAAACAACACAAAAATTCCTCATCCATCATTATATTCAACAGTTGATAAAGCTGATAGAGATCGTATAGAATCCTTAACTCATGATCTATTAAATTGGATTATTTTAAGCCAACAACCCTTTTCAATAGTCGAAGAAGAATCATTTATTAAATTAATTTTTAATTTTGATCCGCGCTATAAAATTCCATGCCGTCAAACGATTTCTACGAATATTAAAAAAAAATTTGAATCTGGTAGAATAGAAGTAAAAAATACTTTAAAAATGAATCGAAGTAAACTAGCTCTTACTTTAGATGTCTGGACAGCATGTACTCAGCAACCGTTCCTTGGAATTACTGTCCATTGGATTGATACCGAATGGACAACAAAGACTCTTCTTCTTGATCTTATTCCTCTACATGATTCTCATACTGGTGAATATCTCGGAGAAAAGATTCTCAAACTTGTGGAAGATTTAGAAATAAAAGAAAAATTAATTGGTTTTACTGGAGATAATGCATCAAACAATCAAACATGCTTACGTTATCTTCAAAAAAAAAATAAGTCCGAATTTTATGTACGTACGATGTGCAGCACACATTTTAAACCTTGCTGTCAAAGAGGGTCAAAAACACTATATTAGTCAGATAAAAAAAGCACGTAATTTTTGCAGCAAGATTAGAAATTCGCCTCTACTTCTAGAAGAAATGAAAAGAATTTTTGCTATCTTAGATCGTCCATTTCTTCATCCTGAGCTTGATGTCGACACAAGATGGAATTCCACTTACCTAATGCTTGAACGGCTAGTTGAAATTCGAGATATTACAGATGGTCTTATACAATCTCGCTCAAATCTAAAAGAAGATTATTTAGAGTCTGGTGATTGGGAAATAATTGAAGAAATGATTCAACTTCTCAAGCCTTTTTATCAAGCAACATTAATCTTGTCGAATGCGTCACTCCCTTTTCATGGATCTTTACGATTAATCATTCAAGGTCTTTTGGCACATCTCAATAATTATATTGAAAATATTAATACGAATATATATCGTAAAATAGCTCAAGGGATAAAAGACAAATTGACAAATTACTGGATCTATATTGCGCAATCTTCTATTATCCCTACTCTTCTTGATCCGTCTATCAAATTTGAAACCTTTGATGAGAAAGATCGCCAGTTAGCTACCAATATTCTAAAAGCTTCTTACTCAATTTATCATATAAATGAAGATACGATAACACCTAAAAAAGAAGATTCTTTAGAAATTTTTTGAAAATTAGTGCAATCAAATAAAAATGAAGAAACTATAACAAATGAATTAGCCACTTACCTTTCATTACCTCCAGAACCGAAGGTCAATCCCTTATTATGGTGGAAAACAAATGCTTTCCGTTTTCCAACTGTGGCTTTAATAGCAGCTGATTACTTTGCATTACAAGCCACGAGTGTTCCTTGTGAACGTGTTTTTTCAGTAGCCAAGAATACTATTAGTCTTTCGAGAAACCGCCTTCTTGACCAATCAACAAGAGCTTCTTTATGTTTAAAAAATTGGGTTGAAGCGGGAATTGTAGAATAATAATATAAAATTAGTTAATTAGAATAAAATAATCATTTTATGATATAACTTCTTACGTACTTTTTTTTATTAGAATAAAATAACGATAATCATTTTATAATATAATTTCTTATATATATACGTACTTTTTTTTTATTATCATAACGGTAATTTATAATACATAAATCACATATTTAAAATGCCTCACATGACCAGATACAAGTCTAACTTCGAACCGACTTCTGATTAAAACTCAACTTTTGAGTCGAGTCGGACCAGATCGGACTTTTAACATCCCTAGTTTGGAATCATCTGCATGCAATATGCTGCATCTGGTTGTCATTTGAAAAATCACGTGTTGCCGTTGGAAAAGAGGTGCCACTACTCATTCCGTGAATAAACAAAGTAGATCCACTACAAATATGAATAGAATAATAAAAATGAATTCAATATAATACGATATACTGTATACTGTATATACTTTTGAGATGGCGTGCTGTGGCAATCTTTTGTATACAGTAATCGGCAAACTATTTCCATATACTTTATTCCGATTCAACCATTTTTACGGCTGTTTATCGATACTTTATTTTCTAAAATTATCTCGTTGATGACAAGAATTGTCTCTCTTTCGGTAATTATAATGATATTCTTTCTTTTATCACAAATTAACTTTCTCATTGACAGCACTTGTCCATTCCATTGATTGTTTGTATGTATCGATTTTTTTTTTTTTTTTTTTTTTCCTACAGAAATTGATCATGCAATAATGTGAATGTAATTCAACGGGAATTTTGCACTCTTTACTTGCTAGGCGCAACTGCACGCTACAAAATAACGCATAAATGGTATAAAAATAAAAAAAGTAAGCACATGACCCTCAATTTATCAACAATACAAGCATCTCTTAAAGCAAAATCCAAAGGCTCTGAATCTGTAGAATGAAATCAAATCGGAAGCGTGACTATATATCTATAAATACTGAAATATGGATGTTTAATCTAATACTCGAAAAAACTATAAAATATATACTGTAGGTATTGTATACTGTATTCTTTGTAATAAGAGATTTCGCTAACCTTATATGTATTGTACATACATGGATAATTATTGTGATCACACGTTACCCGCTGATCCAAAGGAAAAAATGGTAATTATAAATGAAACCTGTAAAATACCCACCTAACCATATATCGTTAGTTGATCCCTTTTTATCAAACACCCCCGTATGAAAATTAATTAGTTATATTTTTTATTTTTAAAAAAGAAATCTTTTTAAAAATAAATCACATACCAATTTGTTGATTATATTATGTTATTACGCACGTTTTAAAAAAAAAAGTAAAACCATTATCATTAAAAAAATAAACATACGGTATATCGCGTCTAATGAATATAAAAAAAATGAATGAGCCAAACGCACCGCGAAAATAACATGGTCGCGTAAATAAATAAAATAAATAAATAAATAAATGAAATGAAATCTTCGATTAATGAAATTGGAATGTTTGGTGAATGCTATAAATAAAAGTTTTCGTTTATAAAGTCGAAGATTAATTTAGTTAAAATATAGTTTAAAATTAGAATCCTACTTTCTTAAATTTATATTAATTTGAATTTTGAATTGGACGTAGTATGAAAATCGATTTACATACGTAACATACTGTATAAGATTGTAAACGTTTAAAAATAAAAATAACATAAACTTAGATACAGTACCTTTTTTAAAGATGTCGACTTTGACTCAAATTGAATTTGATTTGATTTGATTTGAATTGAATTTGGGTAAACGCAGATGACCTAAGCAGAGTTTTTTTTCCTATTTTCGGTCGCATGAAATGCATCCCCTTACGTCACCCTTGCGCCACTCGTACAGTGTCCCTACCGCATTGGAGATATGCACATGGCGCATTTGGAGTGAAATTTCCGAAATTTATTTTTTCACGTGATGGGAATCGTGATCGTCACGT